GACTAAGTACACACCCCTGTGGGGCCCCCGTGGTGGAGGTGATGTTCAGTTGTTTATAGGCTTGTACAGTTCGTTAAGTGCCAGCTTGTTGTTTTTCTTGTCCTGAGGTGGAATGTATACAACAGTCAAGATAACAACTGAAAACTCCCTCTGGAGGTAGAAGGGTCTGCATTTGACCATCAGGTATTTGACCATCAGTTAGCACACCAGTTAATGTAGAGGCAAACCCCTACCCCACTCGATTTCCCCGACTCCACTGTCCTGTCCGCCCTGTGAATAGAGAATCCATCAAGTTGGATAGCCATGGGGGGTATCTTGTCCGAGAGCCATGTTTCTGAAAAGCAAAGAATATTGCAGTTTCGAGAGTCATTTTGAGAGAGATAGCAGGAGAGTTGGCTAGAGACGGCACGCTCAAGAGTTTTGGAGAGAAAAGAAAGAAGGGATACTGGTCTGTAGTAGTTGACATCGGAGGGATCGAGTGTAGGTTTTTTGAGGAGGGGTGCAACTCTCGCTCTCTTGAAGACGGAAGGGACATAGCCAGCGGTCAAGGATGAGTTGATGAGCGAGGTGAGGTAAGGGAGAAGGTCTCCGAAAATGGTCTGGAGAAGAGAGGAGGGGATAGGGTCAAGCGGGCAGGTTGTTGGGCGGCCGGCCGTCACAAGTCGCAATATTTCATTTGGAAGAGGGGAGAAAGAAGTCAAAGCATAGGGTAGGGCAGTGTGAGCAGGACCAGCGGTGTCATTTGACTTAATAAATGAGGATCGGATGTCGTCAAACTTCTTTTCAAAATGGTTGACGAAGTCATCCACAGAGAGGGAGGGGGAGGAGGATTAAGCAGGGAGGAGAAGGTGGCAAAGAGCTTCCTAGGGTTAGAGGCAGATGCTTGAAATTTAGAGTGGTAGAAAGTGGCTTTAGCAGCAGAAACAGAGGAAGAAAATGTAGTAGGAGGGAGTGAAAAGATGACAGGTCCGCAGGGAGTCTAGTTTTCCTCCATTTTCGCTCGGCTGCCCGGAGCCCTGTTCTGTGAGCTCGCAATGAGTCGTCAAGCCACGGAGCAGGAGGGGAGGACCGAGCCGGCCAGGAGGATAGGGGACATAGAGAGTCAAAAGATGCAGAAAGGGAGGAGAGGAGGGTTGAGGAGGCAGAATCAGGAGATCGGAGGGAGAAGGATTGAGCAGAGGGAAGAGATGATAGGATGGAAGAGGAAAGAGTAGCGGGAGAGAGAGAGCGAAGGTTGCGACGGCGCATTACCATCTGAGTAGGGGCAGAGTGAGTAGTGTTGGAGGAGAGCGAGAGAGAAAAGGATACAAAGTAGTGGTCGGAGACATGGAGGGCAGTTGCAGTGAGATTAGTAGAAGAACAGCATCTAGTAAAGATGAGGTCAAGCGTATTGCCTGCCTTGTGAGTAGGGGGGGGACGGTGAGAGGGTGAGGTCAAAAGAGGAAAGGAGTGGAAAGAAGGAGGCAGAGAGAAATGAGTCAAAGGCAGACGTAGGGAGGTTAAAGTCACCCAGAACTGTGAGGGGTGAGCCATCTTCAGGAAAGGATCTTATCAAGGCGTCAAGCTCATTGATGAACTCTCCAAGGGAACCTGGAGGGCGATAAATGATAAGGATGTTAAGCTTGAATGGGCTAGTGACTGTGACAGCATGGAATTCAAATGAGGAGATAGACAGATGGGTCAGGGGAAAAAGAGAGAATGTCCACTTGGGAGAGATGAGGATTCCTGTGCCACCGCCGCGCTGACCAGATGCTCTCGGGGTATGCGAGAACACATGATCAGACGAGGAAAGAGCAGTAGGAGTAGCAGTGTTTTCTGTGGTAATCCATGTTTCCGTCCGCGCCAAGAAGTCGAGGGACTGGAGGGTAGCATAGGCTGAGATGAACTCTGCCTTGTTGGCCGCAGAATGGCAGTTCCAGAGGCTGCCGGAGACCTGGAACTCCACATGGGTCGTGCGCGCAGGGACCACCAGATTAGAGTGACAGCAGCCACGCGGTGTGAAGCGTTTGTATGGCCTGTACAGAGAGGAGAGAACAGGGATAGACAGAGGCATAGTTGACAGGCTACAGAAAAGGCTACAATAATGCAAAAGAGATCGGAATAAAATGAACTAAACATCTTGGGAAGCGAGAGAGCGGGGTCTCCCTCACTTACCTTTCGCTGAAACACTCAAATATAACTCTACCAAATTCCACTTTAGAAATTATAATTGTTGTAAACTACAGCGGTTCAATGTTTTCTAGGAATAGACTCTAACTTAGCTTATTCAGCTAGCTAACTTGGTACAGTATTCTTCCGTGAAAACCGCCCAGGGCACCGTATCCTATGACGCCATAGCTAACTAGCATGATAGCATCCAATAACACATGGTTTAGCACCAATAATTGATCACAACAAACTACCAATAGTGTGTTAACACACTAAACAGATCATTCGTGTCCGTGTCTAGTTCCTTTCATAACGCAGAATTAGTTAAACGTTGGCTAGCTAGCACAAAGTCAGTCATGCTAGCTACACAAGTGGACTACACATCTCGAATGTTCAGAAAGTGAAGCTTACGTTGCAAAATAAATTCTCATTGACTAAAATGATATGGTATTTAGTTGCTACAGTACTGCTAGCTGGTAGTGTTGGCTAGCTAGCAATGGCTGCGGTGTTGACTTTGTTTGAAAAACGGCGTCGCTGCGCACGAATGTAGCTGGCTAGCTAACCTCGATAGTTTCTCTATACTACACCTTTATCTTTGATACAAAGACAACTATGTAGCTAGCCAACATTACACTAATCAAATCGTTCCATTGTAATGTAATGTGTGTCATATTACCTGCGGAGCGAAGTACAGCATGACTACTCACTCCAACTTAAATGCGGTGGTTGGCGCTTTCAGTTTTGCGCGAATGCTGCCATCTATCCACGGTTTCTGGTTAGGGTAGGTTTTAATAGTCACAGTTGGCACAACATCACCTATACACTTCCTGATAAACTCAGTCACCGTTTCAGTGTGTTAGTCTAAATTATTTTGGCAAGCTACCCGGAACATATCCCAGTCCGCGTGATCAAAACAATCTTGAAGTGGGATTCCGATTGGTATGACCAGCGTTGAATAGTCCTTACCACGGGTACTTCCTGTTTGAGTTCCTGCCTATAGGAAGGGAGGAGCCAAATGGAACTCCATCTCCAACCCCCACAGAAAGGCAAAAGTGATAACTAAGTGGCTCGGGGAACAAAACATCAACATTTTGCTAGCTGTGACTTAGGCATTCAGATAGCTAGCTGAAAATGCTACATTTTCACAATCAGTTGATACTCTAAATATGTGTACAGTCGTGGTGAAAAGTTTTGAGAATGACACAAATATTAATTTTCACAAAGTCTGCTGCCTCAGTTATGATGGCAATTTGCATATACTTCAGAATGTTACGAAGAGTGATCAGATTAATTGCAATTAATCTTAAGAGTCCCTCTTTGCCATGAAAATGAACTTAATCCCCCAAAAAAAATTTCCACTGCATTTCAGCCCTGCCACAAAAGGACCCTTTGCCATCATATCAGTGATTCTCTCGTTAACACAGGTGAGAGTGTTGACGAGGACAAGGCTGGAGATCACTCTGTCATGCTGATTGAGTTAGAATAACAGACTGGAAGCTTTAAAAGGAGGGTGGTGCTTGAAATTATTGTTCTTCCTCTGTTAACCATGGTTACCTGCAAGGAAACACGTGCCGCCATCATTGCTTTGCACAAAAAGGGCTTCACAGGCAAGGATATTGCTGCTAGTAAGATTGCACCTAAATCAACCATTTATCGGATCATCAAGAACTTCAAGGAGAGAGGTTCAATTGTTGTGAAGAAGGCGTCAGGGTGCCCAAGAAATTCCAGCAAGCGCCAGGACCGTCTCCTGAAGTTGATTCAGCTGCGGGATCGGGGCACCACCAGTGCAGAGATTGCTAAGGAATGGCAGCAGGCAGGTGTGAGTGCATCTGCATGCACAGTGAGGCTAATATTTTTGGAGGATGGCCTGGTGTCAAGAAGGGCAGCAAAGAAGCCACTTCTCTCCAGGAAAAACATCAGGGACAGACTGATATTCTGCAAAAGGTACAGGGATTGGACAGCTGAGAACTGGGGTAAAGTCATTTTCTCTGATGAATCCCCTTTCCGATTGTTTGGGGCATCCGGAAAACACCTTGTCCAGAGAAGACAAGGTGAGCGCTACCATCAGTCCTGTGTCATGCCAACAGTAAAGCATCCTGAGACCATTCATGTGTGGGGTTGCTTCTCAGCCAAGGGAGTGGGCTCACTCACAATTTTGCCTAAGAACACAGCCATGAATAAAGAATGGTACCAACACATGCTCCGAGAGCAACTTCCCCCAACCATCCAAGAACAGTTTGGTGACGACCAATGCCTTTTCCAGCATGATGGAGCACCTTGCCATAAGGCAAAGGTGAAGTTGTCAAGTTTGCTGGATGCCCTTTGGGTGTTGGACCATTCTTGATACACACAGGAAACTGTTGAGCGTGAAAAACCCAGCAGCATTGCAGTTCTTGACACAAACCGGTGCACCTGGCACCTACTACCATACCCCGTTCAAAGGCACTTCAATATTTTGTCTTGCCCATTCACCCTCTGAATGGCACACACAATCCATGTCTCAATTGTCTCAAGGCTGAAAAATCCTTCTTTAACCTGTCTCCTGCCCTCGTCTACACTGAAGTGGATTTAACAAGTGGCATCAATAAGGGATCATAGCTTTCACCTGGTCAGTCTGTCATGGAAAGAGCAGGTGTTCTTAATGTTTTGTACACTGACTATCTATGTCACTAGGTCACGCTGGCACTAAGAACACATCCTTTATCAACAGGATCATTTGTTGGCATTGGGAAATGACTCGAAATTAACACTTCATTAAAATACCTTTTTTGTTTTACGTTGTTTCACTTTAAAGGCAGTATCTATGAGTGGTGATGGCCCCTAGTGATGGCCCCTAGTGATGGCCCCTAGTGATGGCCCCTAGTGACATTACATGTATCCATCACAGTGCCATTCTATATTGTTGAAGTACAGTTCTAGGTCATTCAGACATTACATGTATCTATCACAGTGCCATTCTATACCGTTGGATAGTTCTAGATCATTGTAAATACCATATGTAGGTCATATGGACTTCATCCACAAGGATTCAGATTATTTTGGAGCAGTATAGGACTGAGGCCAACACATCTCTCCCGTTCTTCCCCAACCAGCTTTCCGGACTTCCAAAGACAAGGTCTCATGCACCCTCCCATACAACATTATTGTCTTCCTCCACAACCACCGCTCTGAGACGCAGGGCTGTTGTCCTCCTTCCACAACAGCCTTTAGCAGGGACACGACTGTCAGAAAATCAAGGCTGTTTTCCTTGCTTCTTGAAGACTAGAACTAGCTAGCTAGCTGGTAAATGAGGCTTTTCCCCAAAGCCCATTGGCAAGACCGCTAATACATCCTCCCCTCGCACAAAGGCTCAATGCTTCTAGTTGCTCCTATTTTTATCCCTAAATTGGTGGTTACTATGTGGCAGTGTCAGTGTCGTCGGAGTATCTCCTTTTCAGAAAACTCCATTACTGAGTTTTTCTCCCTTCAGTTTTAGTTAGCTAGACTAGCTAGCCAGCCAGCCTTCAGTTTTAGTTAACTAGACTAGCTAGCCAGCTAGCCTAACTTTAGCTTGGCTTGTTTACCTCTCTAATGGGGACGTAGCAAATTGACGAGGAAGCGTGGGGGGCGTTGCGCATGCAAATACTGTATGAGAACCAATCAAAAAGTTGCTCAAAAAGTAAGCCAGGCTAATTAAAATGTACCAGAGGCCACCAAAATAGAGCTTGTTCAGCCTGGCTGGTTACTTTTTCTATTTGGCTAGCTATTCTATGTACTGAGGGAAAACACTGGCATATAGGATTTATTATTATATTACCGATGATCACACACAGGTTTCACAATGTCCCTTTTATAAGAGCTCATGTTGCATCTCTCCTAACAGACCATAATATAACTGTCTGAATACCCTCTCAGTAACCATAACAACCTTTCCTGGTGTTTCCCAACAGGCATTGGGAAGGTGAAACGGAAAACGGGGACGCGTGACGCTGCCTCCAACGCCGATGGCGACATGTACTCCGACAACGGCGAGCGCCTGTACGACCTCAACCTGCCGGCGCTCGTCAAGTTCAGCTACACCGCCGAGCGGGAGGACGAGCTCTCATTGGTCAAGGGCACCCGCGTCATCGTCATGGAGAAGTGTAGCGATGGCTGGTGGCGTGGGGGGTACCAGGGGTGTTCCGGGTGGTTCCCCTCCAACTACGTGACGGAGGACGCAGATGGGACAGCTGGGGGAGGAGGTTTGGGGGATCCGGCAGGGTCGCTGACGGAAAAGCTAGCTGCAGTGGTTCACAGTGCGTCTAACGGGAACCGGGTACTCCACACGGTGCAGGCGCTGTACCCCTTCAGCTCGGGGAACGACGAGGAGCTGAACTTTGAGAAGGGAGAGGTGATGGAGGTGGTAGAGAAACCAGACAACGACCCTGAGTGGTGGAAGTGTCGTAAAGCAGACGGACAGCTGGGACTAGTGCCTAAGAATTACGTCACTGTGCTGCCTCCCCAGCAGGAATCCACTACCCAGAATGCCTCACTGGGCCCCGTGGGGCCGCCCACGCCTGACTGTGACTACATCTCTCCAGCCACGGTGGGGCGGTTTGCAGGGAAGCAGTGGTACTATGGCAAGGTGACTCGTCATCAGGCAGAGGTGGCTCTCAACCAGAGAGGAGAGGAGGGAGACTTCCTCATCAGAGACTCTGAGTCATCGGTGAGTCCTCACCTCTGTAGCTATCTATAACTCCATCTATAGAGCTTTACAGCCATGTATAGAGCTATAACTCATCTATAGAGCTATACAGCCATCTATAGAGCTATACAGCCATCTATAGAGCTATACAGCCATCTATAGAGCTATACAGCCATCTATAGAGCTATACAGCCATCTATAGAGCTATACAGCCATCTATAGAGCTATAACTCCATCTATAGAGCTATAACTCCATCTATAGAGCTATATACTATACAGCCATCTATAGAGCTATACTCCATCTATAGAGCTATACAGCCATCTATAGAGCTATACAGCCATCTATAGAGCTATACAGCCATCTATAGAGCTATAACCCATCTATAGAGCTATACAGCCATCTATAGAGCTATAACCATCTATAGAGCTATACGCCATCTATAGAGCTATACAGCCATCTATAGAGCTATACAGCCATCTATAGAGCTATACAAGCCATCTATAGAGCTATACAGCCATCTATAGAGCTATACAGCCATCTATAGAGCTATACAGCATCCATCTATAGAGCTATAACAGCCATCTATAGAGCTATACAGCCATCTATAGAGCTATACAGCCATCTATAGAGCTATACAGCCATCTATAGAGCTATACATCCATCTATAGAGCTATAACCCATCTATAGAGCTATACAGCCATCTATAGAGCTATACAGCCATCTATAGAGCTATACAGCCATCTATAGAGCTATACAGCCATCTATAGAGCTATAATCCATCTATAGAGCTATCACAGTCTCATCTATAGAGCTATACAGCCATCTATAGAGCTATACAGCCATCTATAGAGCTATACAGCCATCTATAGAGCTATACAGCCATCTATAGAGCTATAACTCCATCTATAGAGCTATACAAGCTCACTATAGAGCTATACAGCCATCTATAGAGCTATACAGCCATCTATAGAGCTATACACCATCTATAGAGCTATACAGCCATCTATAGAGCTATACAGCCATCTATAGAGCTATACAGCCATCTATAGAGCATACAGCCATCTATGAGCTATCAGCCATCATAGAGCTAACCATCTATAGCTAACTCCATCTATAGAGCTATAAATACAAGCCATCTATAGAGCTATACAGCCATCTATAGAGCTATAACACGCCATCTATAGAGCTATACAGCCATCTATAGAGCTATACACCATCTATAGAGCCTATATCCATTATAGAGCTATACAGCCATCTATAGAGCTATACAGCCATCTATAGAGCTATACAGCCATCTATAGAGCTATACAGCCATCTATAGAAGCTATACAGCCATCTATAGAGCTATAACAGCGCCATCTATAGAGCTATAAGCTCCCCATGAGCTACCCATCTATAGAGCTATACAGCCATCTATAGAGCTATACAGCCATCTATAGAGCTATACAGCCATCTATAGAGCTATACAGCCATCTATAGAGCTATACAGCCATCTATAGAGCTATAACCATCTATAGAGCTTACAGCCATCTATAGAGCTATACAGCCATCTATAGAGCTATAACTCCATCTATAGAGCTATACAGCCATCTATAGAGCTATTAACAGCCATCTATAGAGCTATACACCATCTATAGAGCTATACATCCATCTATAGAGCTATACAGCTATAGACTAACGCCATCTATAGAGCTATACACCATCTATAGAGCTATACAGCCATCTATAGAGCTATACAGCCATCTATAGAGCTATACAGCCATCTATAGAGCTAGCTCTAAGAACAGCCATCTATAGAGCTATACCCATCTATAGAGAAACATTAAGAGCTAACCATCTATAGAGCTATACAGCCATCTATAGAGCTATACAGCCATCTATAGAGCTATACAGCCATCTATAGAGCTATACAGCCATCTATAAGCAACCTCATAGCAAGCCATCTATAGAGCTATACAGCCATCTATAGAGCTATAACTCCATCTATAGAGCTATACAGCCATCTATAGAGCTATACACAAGCCCATCTATAGAGCTATACAGCCATCTATAGAGCTATACAGCCATCTATAGAGCTATACAGCCATCTATAGAGCTATACAGCCATCTATAGAGCTATACAGCCATCTATAGAGCTATACAGCCATCTATAGAGCTATACAGCCAGTTCTATTAAGCTATACAGCCATCTATAGAGCTATACAGCCATCTATAGAGCTATACAGCCATCTATAGAGCTATACAGCCATCTATAGAGCTATACACCCATCTATAGAGCTATACAGCCATCTATAGAGCTATAACCCATCTATAGAGCTATACAGCCATCTATAGAGCTATACAGCCATCTATAGAGCTATACAGCCATCTATAGAGCTATACAGCCATCTATAGAGCTATACAGCCATCTATAGAGCTATACAGCCATCTATAGAGCTATACAGCCATCTATAGAGCTATACAGCCATCTATAGAGCTATACAGCCATCTATAGAGCTATACAGCCATCTATAGAGCTATACAGCCATCTATAGAGCTATAACCATTAGACAGCCATCTATAGAGCTATAACAGCCATCTATAGAGCTATACAGCCATCTATAGAGCTATAACCATTATAGAGCATACCCATCTATAGAGCTATACAGCCATCTATAGAGCTATACAGCCATCTATAGAGCTATACAGCCATCTATAGAGCTATAATACCATCTATAGAGCTATACAGCCATCTATAGAGCTATAACCATCTATAGAGCTATACAGCCATCTATAGAGCTATACAGCCATCTATAGAGCTATACAGCCATCTATAGAGCTATACAGCCATCTATAGAGCTATACAGCCATCTATAGAGCTATAACTCCATCTATAGAGCTATACATCCATCTATAGAGCTATACAGCCATCTATAGAGCTATACAATCAAAGCACCATCTATAGAGCTATACAGCCATCTATAGAGCTATACAGCCATCTATAGAGCTATAACTCCATCTATAGAGCTATACAGCCATCTATAGAGCTATACAGCCATCTATAGAGCTATACAGCCATCTATAGAGCTATACAGCCATCTATAGAGCTATACAGCCATCTATAGAGCTATAACTCCATCTATAGAGCTATAACTCCATCTATAGAGCTATACAGCCATCTATAGAGCTATACAGCCATCTATAGAGCTATACAGCCATCTATAGAGCTATACAGCCATCTATAGAGCTATACAGCCATCTATAGAGCTATACAGCCATCTATAGAGCTATAACTCCATCTATAGAGCTATACAGCCAATCTATAGAGCTATACAGCCATCTATAGAGCTATACAGCATCTATAGCTATACAGGCATCTATAGAGCTATACAGCCATCTATAGAGCTATACAGCCATCTATAGAGCTATACAGCCATCTATAGAGCTATACAGCCATCTATAGAGCTATAACTCCATCTATAGAGCTATACAGCCATCTATAGAGCTATACAGCCATCTATAGAGCTATACAGCCATCTATAGAGCTATACAGCCATCTATAGAGCTATACAGCCATCTATAGAGCTATAACTCCATCTATAGAGCTATAACAGCCATCTATAGAGCTATACAGCCATCTATAGAGCTATACAGCCATCTATAGAGCTATACAGCCATCTATAGAGCTATACAGCCATCTATAGAGCTATACAGCCATCTATAGCTCAGTGTTTTAGATGTCTATAAGTTAGAGACTCACTCATCTAGAAGTTCTAGAGTAAACTATAGCTTATCTATACCATCTATTTATCTCAACATCTTTATGGCTACAGTTACGTTACAGTCACAAGGAGTCATCTACTCTGTCATGAGCCTAATAGTTCAGAAAAAGCTTGTCTGCATTGTGTTGGCCTGAGGAGGTTGGTAGGATGTACCTTTTGCTGTAGAACTGCCTGGAGGCATGGCTTTAGATGCAGCAGTTTTAGAGGGTGGAGGTGTTAGTGGTGATATAAAGGCTGTAGGCTCAGCCTCTCAGACCTGGGGATTGATTTCACATTAACAACTGGTCAACATCTCAGCTGGGGCCTGTGTTTTCACTCTGCTCAGTATCTCTCTCTCTCTGTCTCCCCCCCCTCCCTCTCTCTCTCTCTCTTGCTCGCTCTCTGTCTCCCCCCTTCCTTCTCTCTCTCTCTTTCGCTCTCTCTCTCCCCCCTCCCTTCTCTCTTTCGCTCTCTCTCTCTCCCCCCTCCCTTCTCTCTCTATCTCTCTCTTTCTGTCTCCCCCTCCCTTCTCTCTCTCTCTCTCTCTCTCTCTCTCTCTCCCCCCTCTCCCCCTCCTTCCCCCCTCTAGCCCATTGATTTCTCCATCTCTCTGAAGGCCCAGGGGAAGAACAAGCATTTCAAGGTTCAGCTGAAGGATGGTCTGTACTGCATTGGCCAGAGGAAGTTCAGTTCCCTGGAGGACTTGGTGGAACACTACAAGAAGGCTCCCATCTTCACCAGCGAGCAGGGAGACAAGCTCTACCTGGTGAAAGCCCTGGCCGCCTCTTGATCACACACACTCACACACACTCACACACACACACACACACACACACTCACACAGACAGACAAACGTGTGCAGTACACAGACTTTTACACATCACCAGGACAGAGCCGTGATCATCATGAGGATAAGAGACGGATGGGAGGGGAGAGGGAGAAAAATGACTGTGAATCATCCTATCAGATCATGTGTTTAGTTCTTCTAGGTTATAATGCCATCTACTAGATATAGGCTACATTTAGGGGTTTTGTTTTTGTTAATAATATATATATATATATTCTTTTATGTTTCTTTAAAAAAATGTTTGATGTTTTGAACTCTACCCAACAACAAGGATCCGTAGAGATGAGTCGGTTTGGATGTTGGTTTGGATCCAGAATAGCGACACATTTCAAACGACTTGTTGTATCGTTGTCTGTCTTAACTCTTTCAACATCGTACAACAACTGATATGTTGTGGACAATAATCTACAGTTCTTCTAATTGCTCAACCTGAATAAAAATGATTAAGTGACCAAAGTATATTTATTGGTAGGGTTTCATTTCACCCATCATAGTTATTATACACCATATATACAAAAGTGTGTGGACACCCCTTCAGATTAGTGAATCCGGCTGTTTCAGCCACACCCGTTGCTGACAGGTGTATAAAATCGAGCACACAGCCATGCGATCTCCATAGACAAACATTGGCAGTAGAATGACCTTATAGAAGAGCTCAGTGACTTTCAGTGGCAACGTCATAGGATGCCACCTTTCCAACAACGCAGTTCGTCAAATGTCTGCCCTGCTAGAGCTTCCCCGGTGAACTGTAAGTGCTGTTATTGTGAAGTGGAAACGTCTAGGAGCAACAACGGCTCAGCCGCAAAATGGTAGGCCACACAAGCTCACAGGACGGGACAGCCAAGTGCTGAAAATCGTCTGTCTTCGGTTGCAACACTCACTACCGAGTTCCAAACTGCCTCTGGAAGCAACATCAGCACAATAACTGTTCGTCGGGAGCTGCATGAAATGGGTTTCCATGGCCGAGCAGCCGCACACAAGCCTAAGATTCAATAATGATTGTCTGGGGCTGTTTTTCATGGTTCGGGTTAGGCCCCTTAGCTCCAGTGAAGGGAAATCTTAACGCTACAGCATACAATGACATTCTAGACGATTCTGTGCTTCCAACTTTGTGGCAACAGTTTGGGGAAGGCCCTTTCTTGTTTCAGCATGACAATGCCCCCGTGCACAAAGCGAGGTCCATACAGAAACGGTTTGTTGAGATCGGTGTGGAAGAACTTGACTGGCCTGCACAGAACCCTGACCTCAACCCCATCAAACTCCTTTGGGATGAATTGGAACGCCGACTGCGAGCCAGGCCTAATCGCCCAACATCAGTGCCCGACCTCACTAATGCTCTTGTGGCTGAATGGAAGCAAGTCCCCACAGCAATGTTCCAACATCTAGTGGAAAGCCTTCCCAGAAGAGTGGAGGCTGTTATAGCAGCAAAGTGGGGGACCAACTCCATATTAATGCCCCTGATTTTGGAATGAGATGTTCGACAAGCAGGTGTCCACATACTTTTGGTCATGTAGTGTATATTAAGGATGTTGTACTACATATAACATGTAATGGATTGAATGGCTGAGGTCAGGAGAGACATGGAGCTCTAGAAGAGGGCAGGTGAGTTATGACAACATTTATAGTCGCACACTATTTTTTTATTTGGGTCATTGGAGGATGATTTGGGTCACGGGGGGGACGGTCAATTTCTCATTTGGGTCTGGAGCTCTGCTCTCCTATGTTCTGTCTAGTTGAGGTTAGGGGTCAGAGGTCAGGTTCTCTGCACCAACAGTATGTAGTTGGGTTGATGGTGTTACCTGAAGATGTCTTACCTGTAGCAGTGATGTTGATGACACTAGAACGTCACTGGGTTGAGCACCAGTACATGTGGTGCTTCCACCTCACACCAGTACATGTGGTGCTTCCACCTCACACCAGTACATGCGGTGCTTCCACCTCACATCCTGTGTGTGATTCTCTAGGTATTGTGAATCTCTCTTGAGGTGAGGTGGGGTGGTGTTGACTGAACTGAAGTATTGATCCCAGCTGATCTCTTTACAGTTCTACTGCCCCAGGGGACATCATGTTTCCTCCCTCACTCTGTCTTCCTCCGCTCCTACCCCCACCCCACCTCCCCTTTTCGGGGGGGTTCAGTGAGCTAGCTAGCCAGCCAACAGCAGTATAGATTCAGAAGGCTGGTTCCTGGTTCAGGCTGCGATGGCGTGGTGATGGCTTCTCCAGCTGGGGTGAGTTGGACCGGAGAGGGGGGAGGGAAAATGACCCAATAAAACAACAGCAGAAAGAATCGGAGAGGAGGGAACTGGAGATTAAAGCATCAGTCAGTCACTACCCACCTGATCACTGGGGTGGGAGAGGGGTAGGTGGTGGTGGAGAGAGGGTTAGGAGAGAGAGGGAGAGGGGTAGAGGTGGAGAGAGGGTTAGGAGAGAGAGGGAGAGGGGTAGAGGTGGTGGAGAGAGAGGGAGAGGGGTAGAGGTGGAGAGAGGGTTAGGAGAGAGAGGGAGAGGGGTAGAGGTGGTGGAGAGAGGGTTAGCGGGAGAGGAGGGAGGGGGTAGCGGTGTGGAGAGAGGTTCGGAGAGAGAGGGAGAGGGGTAGAGGGGGTGGAGAGCCAGGGGAGAGGGTAGGGTAGAGTGGAGAGAGGGTTAGGAGAGATGGGTTAGGGGTAGGAGGGGTGGTGGAGAGAGGGTTAGGAGAGGTTAGGGAGAGAGGGTTAGAGGGGTGGTGGAGGAGAGCGGTTAGGAGAGGGGGAGGGGTAGAGGTGGAGAGGAGGGTTAGGGAGAGAGAGGGAGAGGGTAGTTAGAGGTGGAGAGAGAGGAGGAGAGGTGGTGGTAGTGGTGGAGCAGGGGGGGGTAGAGGTGGTGGAGAGAGGGTTTGGAGAGAGAGGGAGAGAGTGGAGGGGGATGGAAGGGGTTGTTATTTGGAGTGTACAGGGAGTTTTGGGTTACAGGCCTGACATTTACATTTTAGTCATTTAGCAGACGCTCTTTTCCAGAGCGACTTACAGGAGCAATTAGGGTTAAGTGCCTTGCTCAAGGGCACATCGACAGATTTTTCACCTAGTCGGCTCGGGGATTAGAACCAGCGACCTTTCGATTACTGGCACAACGCTCTTAACGACTAAGCTACCTGCCGCCCCGAAGATGCATCTACACAACTCTTCTCTTTCATATGAAGTTTCCTCTCTGTGCGTTGCGTCCATCTTCAGTGTGATACAACATTGTCTTGAAAAGTCTTGAAACTAACTCTGTACACCCCCCAGATTTAAAGAATGACCAGGACATTTAACTTGTGCCTTCAATGCTTAGGCTGGTCCCAGATCTGTCTGCTATCATGCCAAACAATGACCCTAGGAGTTGGCAAGACGGCACAAACAGATCTGGGACCAGGTTATATTCAACACTTAATGTCCAAACCAAAGGTTTAGTGTCCCTAGTGCCCCCCCGTCCGTCCCCTCTAGCCTGTCATAGCAGTGTGTCCCTAGTGCCCCCCCGTCCGTCCCCTCTAGCCTGTCATAGCAGTGTGTCCCTAGTGCCCCCCGTCCGTCCCCTCTGGCCTGTCATAGCAGTGTGTCCCTAGTGCCCCCCCGTCCGTCCGTCCGTCCCCTCTGGCCTGTCATAGCAGTGTGTCCCTAGTGCCCCCCCGTCCGTCCCCTCTAGCCTGTCATAGCAGTGTGTCCCTAGTGCCCCCCCGTCCGTCCCCTCTGGCCTGTCATAGCAGTGTGTCCCTAGTGCCCCCCCGTCCGTCCGTCCCCCTCTGGCCTGTCATAGCAGTGTGTCCCTAGTGCCCCCCCGTCCGTCCGTCCGTCCCTCTGGCCTGTCATAGCAGTGTGTCCCTAGTGCCCCCCGTCCGTCCGTCCCCTCTGGCCTGTCATAGCAGTGTGTCCCTAGTGCCCCCCCGTCCGTCCGTCCGTCCCTCTGGCCTGTCATAGCAGTGTGTCCCTAGTGCCGCCCCGTCCGTCCGCGTCCCCTCTGGCCTGTCATAGCAGTGTGTCCCTAGTGCCGCCCCGTCCGTCTCCCCTCTGGCCTGTCATAGCAGTGTGTCCCTAGTGCCCCCCGTCCGTCCGTCCGTCCCTCTGGCCTGTCATAGCAGTGTGTCCCTAGTGCCCCCCCGTCCCCCCCGTCCCCTCTGGCCTGTCATAGCAGTGTGTCCCTAGTACCCCCCCCCCCCCGTCCGTCCGTCCCCTCTGGCCTGTCATAGCAGTGTGTCCCTAGTACCCCCCCGTCCGTCCGTCCGTCCCCTCTGGCCCTGTCATAGCAGTGTGTCCCTAGTGCCCCCCCGTCCGTCCCCTCTGGCCTGTCATAGCAGTGTGTCCCTAGTGCCCCCCCGTCCGTCCGTCCGTCCCTCTGGCCTGTCTAGCAGTGTGTCCCTAGTGCCCCCCCCGTCCGTCCGTCCCCTCTGGCCTGTCATAGCAGTGTGTCCCTAGTGCCCCCCCCGTCCGTCCCCTCTGGCCTGTCATAGCAGTGTGTCCCTAGTGCCCCCCCGTCCGTCCGTCCCCTCTGGCCTGTCATAGCAGTGTGTCCCTAGTGCCCCCCCCGTCCGTCCCCTCTAGCCTGTCATAGCAGTGTGTCCCTAGTGCCGCCCCGCCTCCGTCCCCTCTGGCCTGTCATAGCAGTGTGTCCCTAGTGCCCCCCCGTCCGTCCCCTCTGGCCTGTCATAGCAGTGTGTCCCTAGTGCCCCCCCGTCCGTCCCCTCTAGCCTGTCATAGCAGTGTGTCCCTAGTGCCGCCCCGTCCGTCCCCTCTGGCCTGTCATAGCAGTGTGTCCCTAGTGCCGCCCCCGTCCGTCCCCTCTGGCCTGTCATAGCAGTGTGTCCCTAGTGCCCCCCCGTCCGTCCCCTCTGGCCTGTCATAGCAGTGTGTCCCTAGTGCCCCCCCGTCCGTCCGTCCGTCCCCTCTGGCCTATCATAGCAGTGTGTTATTACAGGTTTGCCTGTACGTACGGTT